GCATGACGCAATCAGACAAGTTCTTTCTTATCGTGTAATTCACGTGAAAGTTAAAAAAACCCGATACGTTATGGTTGGGGTGGCTGAGAGTGAGTCAAAGCATGGAGCTATCAATACCCCACACGCTGTGGTTGCGCAGTTGACCGCGAAGTTAATGGTTTTGATAAAAGGGAGGATCAGTAACCCCATGGTTTATATCTTCGTTCGTGGTCACGCGAGGAAGCTTGTCGTGCGTTAAGTTGGGGAACTCGGCAGAAAACCAGTTATCTTTGTTACTAACGATAGCTAAATGACTGAAGTTGGTTCCCCGGTTGTTGCTTGATTTTTATATTTTCACAAACCATCACGAACTACATGTGCAGAATTCAAATCAGTTGAGGTTCATTGGTTGTGTGTGACCTCCAGTGAGTGTTTTGGCGAACTCCAGTCGATACAGCACTGCGGTAGTAAAAATGAGCACAACGTAAAGGTAAAGTGTATACAATTTTGTTGCCAGGGGTAATCGACAAAAAATCAAAGCAAGTATAATATGTGGAAACTCTTAAAATGGGTAATTACAAAGTCACAAATTGTATTCCCAATTTCATCACTTGGAACCTCCCTTCAATAGCAACAAGTCTTTAGTCTGTGGACTTCGAATTGTCATGCTTTTGTGTAATCAGATAACTCAGGGTACCAGATTGTATTCAAATTTAACTCGCAAAAGGCTTATTTGGTTCAGTATCACTTAATATCATAGTCTGTAAACCTAGTTAAATAATTTTGGGAACAAAATTAAATGGATCATCACTCATCTTTGGTACAAATATCTAGAGATGAAAGGCGTATCGTTCTATCCGTTAGCATGAGGCTCATTAACATCATGGATATTTTTTAATGCATTGTTATTTACTTGGAACATGCTTTGCATGTTCTTCCCTGGTGCAACATGTGGTTACGAGAGTCACACTTGACAAGGTATATTCAACTTACATTTTTTTCTCGCGCTCAGTTCTTTTTCTTTCGTAGCTCCGCGTTGAGCATTTGCATTACGTACTAAATGGTACGGATTTACTGTGTGCATCCCTCTTTCAGAACTGCTTGGAACAAACATGAATATTTACGATGCCCAATGACGAAAACTGTGACAGGGTGGGTCGAGTAAAGTTTCTCTTTGGGCACAATAACATTCTCACGTTGCAACAGTTTTACGTACATGTACGTTCAAAACAAAGGAACACCATTCTGGTGCGGCCGAACCGGCCCGGCACGCTGGATCGCGGCCAACAGTAAAGAGGCTCATCCATTTTGTAAACGTAACCAGCATGCTGGTTCATGTTCTGGACGAAAAACACGACAGACTAACGAGTCATTTCACGTCTAGTCACTCGGTGGCGACTGGTGTCTCTCGGGGGCGGGGGGGCTCGAGTCGTTCGGGTTCGGGTTTTAGAGTGTTGTCATCACGCATCTGAAAGACAAGTTTTCCCTGGGGAAACTTTATGGTCCAGTTCCGTCCCTATCCCTACTACAACATCGCACATATATATATGGAAAACATAGAATATTGAAACATTCTGCTTACCATAGAAAGCCACCTGCGTGGTCTATGCTACTAAAAAAAGATAGTGCCTGGTTCGTGAATGACTTCGTCACAATGGCGGACGTGAAACTATTTGCAGGCTCCTATTGGACGATCGCTGAAGTTGCGCGTTAAATTCCGATTCCATAAACGGCGATACGAATGCACGTAACTCTATGGAGTACCAAAGTGTCACGTCACTCACGAACCAGGTACTTTTTTTAGTAGCATAGACCATGCAGGTGGCTTTCTCTGGCCTTTTACACACTATTTGTGCGCGTGAGATATTCACTTAGGTACACTATGTGCAGTGAACATACGAAGTATAAGAAAACTACGGAGCACTGATGATCAGTAATGTAAGAAAAAACAGTGCTCACCTTTCTGCTAAGGTGCTAAATTTTTGGCCCCCACTAGGCCTTCGTCGGAAGGACACGCACGCGCATGTCATCACAAGTGTGTGGTGCCTTGGTGAAGTGGCGAGCTGCAGGGTGCCCCGGGAGTTGAGGTCGGACGCTTCGTAAGTGCTCAGTGAATCGGTCAGCCAAGCACCGTTTCATTTCACTGTTGTAGTGGACACCGCAAGAGATACGATACACGAGGCTGGCGGTTTGAATGTGGACTTTTCTGCATTCGAACTACTAGTCCCCCCACAGCTCCGATGAAGGCCCAGTGGGTCCGAAAATTCAGCACCTTAGCAAAAAGGTGAGCACGGTTTTTTCTTACTTTGCCCCTACATTAACTCTATGTGCAGTGTGGACGTGGTTTAAACTGAAGTGACGCCACACCCCGAACCACATAGCGCCGCGTAGCGGCGCAAGATAGAAAATGGATTGGGTTGGATTTATGGTTGCACTACACCAAATACGCGTCCATAGAAAGCAGTGCAAATTCGGACCGAAATAGCGCCGCCTGTTGACTCTCGTGAAGAGTTGAACCGTCGTCGGGTCGAACCGTCGCCTTTTGCCATTCCGTTTGTACACACACGACGCGTCGTGCGTCGCGTCGTGCCGTCGCCCGTCACGTCGTGCTGTTCCTTGTTGCATTTTTTTCTGCCTAAACGTCGCCCCTTCCGTCGCCCGTTGCGTCATGCTGTCGTGTCGTGCATTGCGTCGCCTGAAGCTAGACGCGACGCACGACACGACGCGACGCGTCGTGTGCTGTCGCCCTTTACTTCATGGTGTATATAGAGGGTGCCTTTACTGTTTTCTTTCCTTTCCTTCCCCCGACCCGTGCTTGCACAAAACATGCCATAGGTACCAGGCCTTGATTCTGTTGTTCTTTTTCGTGGATTCTTTCTAACTTAAGAGTGAGTTGTTGAAGAAAACTCTTTTCCTTTTTTTTCAAACCAAATGCAATCAGAAAGATTTTCCACTTATTTTGAGAGAGCAGTTCCTTCTTATTAGGATTTTCTTTTGCTCTTCTATCATTTTTTCAATAAAATATGACTGAAATTAATCCCAATTAATGAATCGATGAGATAAAAACAATGAAAAATCAACACCAAAGAGCGAATTGCATGTACTTTGCAAGAAAGGTGGACGGAAATGAAAGAAAACAGTAAAGGCGCCTTCTATAACACCATGAAGCTAAGGAAGGGCAACAGCACACGACGCGCCGCCAAAGTAAAATCCCAATTTCTGCCAGCAGAAAATTGAGTTTTTGAAAATGCTTTACGCAAATTCCCCGAACCCGAAGATCTACTAGCAAAAAATGAGAAAATGGGGTTGTCCACTTTTGACGCTCCATAAGCTTGGTCATGCTGAATATGAAAATGAACTGAATCTGCTTGCCCTGACGAAGTTACCCAGTTACCGAAAACTCGGCAATCACGTATTTCAGTGCACTGATTGTATATTATATTTCTGTCAATATTCTGATCACGATGCTACACAGCATTTTTCTACAAAAGCTGACTGGCTATTCAGAATATATGTAAATGTAAGGTCAATTGCACACATATTTCAAAAGCTGTTGCGTAAACACAGTGATTGAAATACTAATTTAAATATCCCAAATAATAAAAGTAGGAATAAGGCATGGTTTGAACCAACGTGGCGGGGCAAGATCGTTCCCATGGGAACGAGGTTGGCCTTACGAGGGTTGGTGTACTAGAGGGCGTCCCAATTTACAAAAATTGCGGTCTAAACTTACTCCACTCCCAGACGTACATAAAAAACCTGGACTTGCAACGCTTTTGTATGAAAAAGAAACCAACCAGCGGCCATTTCACTGAGCCGAATACAAAAGCGTGGGTTGGCTCCCTTCTAATGACGTCAGGAAGAACGAAGGCGGGCATTACCAGGAAAGCTTTGTATTCGGCTCGGTAAAATGGCCGCGAGTCTATAGAGGGATCCCAATACGACGCTTTTAGCATCGATCTGCGCATTTCCGCGTTTGAAAAAGAGGCTGTATGTGTTAGCTTCAATTCTTAATACGATCAGACGATGGAAAGTACGGAGTCAAGACACAAAATACATAAAGGTAGTGACATTCAGACTTTCCAGGCTTCAACTTTTTGTGGAAGAGTCTTTCAGGATGACTCAGCACGTAAAATCAAAAGAAAAATAATGGCAATTTACCACGAACTAATGTACCTGCGATGGTCGTGTATCTTGTGCGGTGGGCGTGGTTTAAATTGAAGTGGCGCCACATTTACGAACCGGATACTGCATGTACAGTGTCGACTCTGCGGGCGCGCGCGACGAAGTTCCACACAGAGAGCCTCGGTTTCGATGCAGATATGCGCAGATGGAGNGGGAAATCCCCCTATAAGCTGATTAAGAGCATTGCGAGTCCAGATTTTATTGTACGCGTCTGTGACTGTACTATCGATTGAGTCTTGGGCCAAAAACGATGTCGCACTGTACGACACGAAGCAAGACTATCACGAAGCTGGTTCCCGCATAGGCATATGCACCTTGTACCAATACCACTAGGCTTTTGCCATGTAAGGTGCACTGAACCAATTCAAGCTCTATTGAAAATAGTGTAACATGAACCAAGTTTGGAGCCATATGGCGCGCAACTGAAGACCCTGAGGCCCCTCAAACAAAAAAACCAATGTGTTGTTTGGTCCTTCAGATTTCATTTGATTTTGAATTTTTAGTAGGTTTACCAATGAATTTTTTAATTATCTGCCCAGAACAAACTCACCCCTCAAAAAGTGAATGTTCCAAATCTTTTCAGCGGCCATTTTTCAAATGACATCCCTCACCTTCTGCGGCTCTTCTGACAAACTTTCAATCACATTTTTGGCTGCTTCGCCCCCAGATGAGTGCCTCTGAATCCAAAGAGATGATTCTGTGCCGTACTGACACAATCCCACCATTTCTTGGCCCAAACAGACCCCTCTTTTTGAAAGAATCTGTTGGGGGGTATTTTTTGTGCGCCACCGCCGGGCGGAGAATTTTCCTTGAATTGGGACACTGCACCCGTAAGTAGTGTGCAGGCTTGATATGGATAATTTCAGTTGCCAGAAGTCGCGTAATTATTAATTGTCTGTGTACAACGGCTCGGATGCAGAGATGGAAGACTCGCCGAGCATGTTGAGTGGATCGAATTCTAATGCAAATTCACTGGCTGAATCTGCCCACGTTGGACAGGAAGAACGTTACAATCATGTCAGAGTGCTAGGAAAGGGGGCATTCGGTGAAGCGGTTCTTTATAGTAAAACTGAGGTAGGCTATATCTACAGCCAGGCATGACATTGACGAAGTAGGCCTACGACGAAAACAGGTTAACCCCTGCCGCTATGTGCATGACCTGCCTAGGCTACCCCAAAAACTATGGGGTTCGACTAGTCTAGGCCTAGTGCCCTACACTACAGTTCTGGGAGTAGGCTAGCCCAGAGGTTGTACAGTCAAACTTCGTTAATAAGAGCACTGTTAATACAAGAGCCTGCTTAAGACAAGGAAATTGTTGGATCCCAATCCTTTCTTTTTCATTTTTTTCATTCGTGATAATACAAGGTTTCTGTTATAACAAGGTAGTTTGCCAAGTCCAAAGGACCTCTTATATACGAGGTTCGACTGTACCTCAGAACTGTGGGGTCTGCGATGTCCGCTCCGCTGTTATGCTCCCACGAACTCCACAGACATGACAGAAAATGAGCCTTTTTTGCCATAGGCTGAGGCCTACATCATGAAATTTAACACTGCACGAACAGGGATTCTATTCTAGTTGTGTGTCCATAGAAATGCTGCTCCATTTCCCCCAAGATTTCTATGTAGGGTAGTTTACATGTATATACCTTTGCAAGCCTGGAATATCATTTTTGTTTGGTCACTGCCATTTGCCATTGCATGGGTGGACTGGCTGAAATAAAGGGCACTGACAGAATGATGCCAAATGTGTGGGCATAAATGTCATCAGTGTACTAAAGTAACTCCTGGGCGTTAATGCCATCCATGCCATCCTGGTATTTTTGCATGAAAATCAATATTCATTCAGGCCTAAGAAAAAGTAAGATATGCATGCATTATACCTGAACATGTCCGTGATTAGTGCCGAACCAGCAGCCGAGTATTGAAAAGCTTCAGCTGCAGCCATTCTTTCCTAAGCATTTTGCCTACCAAAGAAATTGGCCAGGCCAGTCAAGTGAGTGATTTTGCACGCAACGTACATGTGTACATATACATGAGAATCACGGTAGTCCTGATCCATGTCGTATACATGTACATGTACAGTTCAGATTGCACATGGCACTAAACTGCAAACACCACATTGCGGTGTTAAATTATGGCCACGACTATACAATTGTCCAGTGTGCATGAAAAACGTGGAGCTCATTTACCGCTGACTCGCGTACTCGTTTATAGCACTTAGTTTTAGACCAAAGTTATTGCATGGTACATTGAAATGTTTGGCTTGGGCATGCGCTGTTATGTGAAGTCATTGGATAGGTCGGCGGGTTTTTCCTGGCAACACTGGCTGTACTGTGCCGCACTTGCGATCGAGCAGCGTGCATGACGCGGTGTGCGGCGGGCAGAGTGTATGATATCCCCATAGACACACAGTGCATATACGCCCTGCATGCATGCCATGCACTTGGGTGGTGCTGTGTGCTGGTTGAATGAAAGATCATATGGAACGATGTGTATACGTGTGTCACATTACATGCCGCTTTCTGTGTACATCGCCGAACGGGGTCAGTTGATATGCATGTATAGGGCACTACGGCCAAGAGAAAAAAGGGCACTGCCACCTTGGTGATGAAACACAATCACTTTTCGGAGGCACCACGGCCAAATGGGAGGGCACTGATGGCCATTGCCATCGGGAAATTTGAGGCCTGCTTTTGTTCTGAGGTCCAAGAAAAAATGGGCCAAAATCATTCCATTTTTTAAAAAAAAGGTGAAAAAATTAGTATTAGTGTCTGAGAGTCATACGGTTCACATGTGTACTTTGCAAAGACGAGTCTTGACCAAATGGTTGCCTATTGATGCACAAGACATGGAAATTGGCTGCAGCCGCTTTCTGTATGTGTTTGTTTAATTCTTAGCTGTGCTGGTTGAAATGGCAGTAGGCTACGGTGCACTGGGGTAACCCTGACCAACCACAGGGCTCCTCACTATTTATGCCCAAATGGTAGGAATGACAAGCAAAAACCGTTGTGTGCCAGTGCATGTGAGTGCACTGTCGCACTGTGAACACTTTTCTGTTGAGGTTGCACGTGGATGTGGGCAAAGAACGCTGCATGTCCGCATCCACGTGCGGTCTCAACAGAAAACGTTCACTGTGCGATAGCACGCTCATGTGCACTAGCACCTAATGGCGGTTGCTTGTTTGTCCTGAAATTCCAGCATAAGTAATAAGGAGCCCTGTGACTGGTCAGTGTAACCCCCAGTGCGCCTGCCATTTCAACCGTTCAGTCCAGTAGTGGCTAAGAATTACACACACATGTATGGAAAGCGGCTGCAGCCAATTTTCATGTCTTGTTTATTGATCGAAGCCGTAGTCAACTATTTGGTTGCGGCTCATCTTCGCAAGTACACATGTGAACCGCATGACTCTCGGATGCTGATCAGGAAATGTTTGCACCTCTTTTTTTGAAAAGGCATGGTTTTTTTTCTTGGTACTCAGAACCATAGAGGAAAGACACAGAAGGAGTTGCAACTCTGGCACTTCAAAGTGTTTAATGGTCGCCACCACCATGTCAGACGGATAATAGAAAACATGCCAAAAATGCCCGAATACTGCCTGCAGATTAGACGGACAAGTAGGGCCAGTAAGAGTTTAGCAATACTTAGTGTTTTGCTTGCAATTAAATACAAATTATTGCTTTGACCAGGAAATACAGAGAGCAAAGTCCCTGATATTAGACCTACATGTACTTTTGCCATCTTGAATAACTTTTCTAATGTTGGTACACTGTTCCATTATTCATGCAAATTTGTAATTTTATTCTCCTCCCTCCAATACATTAGTTTGCAAATACTTGGTACGAATTTGGCTAAGACTCGCCAACAAAATGTTGACTACTGCTGGAAAGCTAAGTTCATAAGGAACCGAATGCTCTTTCATCACAGGGAGTGATTATGAAATCTTGTAAAATACGCTTTTGTGCAAATGCCATAATACAAATATTCAAACAAGCACAAAATATTGTAAACAGTGGGGCTATTTATTCCCAAAATAATTCCTGAAGAAAGCGTTCAATAAGGGCAATGACTGCACATGTACATTTACACATGTACAGGGCACGTGGCATAATGGCGCAGGCACTAATTTTGATGTTTGTTGTGAGATCATACGAAGCACTAACAAAGGCATGAATATTCAGTTTCTTATACCTCTGTACACAAAGTTTTAAGGATGCAGATTACCAGTACAAAGTTGTGGTGGCGATCATAGGGTACAAAGGGGTTTTGTGGTTGTGAAACAGATGGTGTGTAGCAAGTGTTCGCTGCGCTCTAGCTATGGACATACCAGGCATGCCAAAAAGCAGTAATTGGCCAGATGTTATAGCCCAGGCAGTTCAAACTCCTTCTGTGCCCTTACTTTATGTCAGAACAAAGGGATGTAAGCTACCATACATAGAAATCTTGGGGGAAATGGAATAGCATTTTTTCCTTGTGTTACCCCGTCCCAAAAAAGGGATTGGGTTACAATTTCAAATTTTATTTCTTTATGACTATGTTTTTCTTTTGCATACTTTTTGTTCTTTGCTGAGCTTTTGACTTTTCTACTGGTAAGCAGTGTTCCAGTGGTGAACCTTTGATCTATTGCCTAATCCTTTTGTCAAATAGCCTGCTCTTTCTTCAGTTTATCTCTGATCATGCTCTCCTTCATGTAGGAGATCACAGGATGCTCTTAGTACACCAGTGTGTACACTCCCAGTAAACTTTTCAGAAGATCAGCAGGATGTTGGAACACTTAATCCCTAAACTTCTGCTGAGTGCTCATCTGCCTAGATACTAATCAGTGTTGGAATCGTATGACATTTTTTAAGTTGTCCAATGAGAGCCTGAGCTGGTCATGTGGCAAGGGCATGTTCTGGGTGGCAGTTTGCCCCAGAGTTTTGGCAAGCCTGGCATTCCAAACTGTGTGCTGACTACGTGCCTGCCGAATTTTGCTCTGCACTATTTTCTTTTGGACTGGAGGACCTCCAAATCCAAGTCTTCCCCTCATGTTAACGAGTGTTGGCTCTCTATCTTAGTTACTGAACTGCATGTTCTGAAAGAGGGTCTGGAGGGGAGTATCTGCAATCCACCTGAAGAGCTGTCCCCAGGCATCTCAGCCACCAAGCTATTGTAACTTGCAGATAAGCACAAGTATACCAAGGCATCTGTGGCATTAATCACTAGTATCAATCTTGCAAGATCTGCAAGTATTCCTTTGCATTACATTTCCTCTGCTGAACTTTTGCTCTCCACTTTTTGTCAACCGGCTACACGACATGATGGACTGCTGTTCTCCCACCTTGGAATGACTCATCGCAACTCATCTCTACATCTAGAATTTTGGGGCCATTTTTTTCCTTGGGCTCAAAGTGTATTCTGACTCAACAAGAACCTGCATTTTCTGTAAATCTCTTATTTTAATTTACGGCCATCTGAATTGGTGTTTTCTGGATTCACTTCATATTTCTCACACTGATTGGCTTGTTTATTCCCTTAAGTAAAACAAAATCTCTTTTGTGCGTAAATTCTGAATTATGGTTTTTTTTCTAAAGGAAATTAGATTAATATGAAATTTGGTTCCTGCTATTTTGAAATGTTAACCACGGGTTGAACTTGATATGTTTGTCAAATGTGATCTTAACCACTTGCTGCTGGGTGCTTTTAAAAATGCAGTGCACACATACGGGCCATTTTCAAGATTTCAGTTTTCAGATTCTTCAAAATCCCTTTGTTCCCAGTGAATGCGAGTGGCGTCTTTTCAAACGCGGCTGGATCATGTACAACGGTGCTGTGTCGCTCATCAGTGGGTCCCAGAGCACTTTCGTCCGCAGTGCTAATCTGCGGGCGCGCTATGCCCAAAACAGTACAGTGGGTTACATGTACTGTTTAAAAACGGTGACGGATTACCTTCGGAAAATGCAAGCCGAAAAATGATGGCAACTTCCATCAGCAGGTCTTTTGTTACACGGACCATCTCTTTTGTCTGATTTTTGACAGCCTGGCTCTGCATATAAACCCATGGTGCTCGAAACGAGGTTCCCTGGCAGCAAGTGGTTAAACAGGCTGAAAAAGAAGAGCAAGAAAGTTACAACCAAATTGCAAACATGAAGGTATAAGTGGTCTTAACTCGAGGTACATGTACAAATTGTCTAAGGTACAAGTTGTCCAGGGTACGAGTCATCCAAGGTACATGTATGAGTCATCCAAGGCACGAGTTGACTCAAAAGCAACCAGTCAGTCAAAGAATTGGATTACAAAATCATTTCTTTGATCAGTACATGTACATATTGTATGTGCATGTTCATTGTGGTTGTTTTCATCGGTTGCTACCCACCATTTTGCGAAACTCTCGGATGTCCGCGCTGTCCATTTGCTTTTGAATCCAGTTTTTGAAGTGTTGATCCAGCAGCAAAAACTCTACTTTTTCAATTACTTTTCCCGTGAGAATACCTATGAGGTAGGCTAAAAGCCTACATGTACATGTAGCTCTTGATCGAAAATGATGTAATGGAAGTTTTCAGATCGTGAGACCAAGAATTTTTTTTTACAAATTTGACATTTTACTCACCAGTCTCTCGATCTTGTTTCTACCTGACGATCACACCATTCATGCTGTTTGTGTTCATCACATTGCACATGCATTGGCCAACCAATGGCCAAGCTTGCTCCACATTTTGGTTCGACCAATCTGCAATCTGTCACAGCTACATGTACACAGGGCAGCGTGTCATGATGGTATCAGTTTAGGTCACGCAGTGAAAACAAGATTCAATTCCCCGCTTCCAAAAATGATAGATGCAAAATGCAGAGCAAGCTTGGCCATTAGCCAGCGCAACACATGCGCAGTATAATAAACACAAAGGGCATGAATGGTGCATTCAGCTTTGGATGGAAACAAGAGATTAGTGAGTAAAAATGTCAGATTTTTCAAAACTACTTAGTCTCATGGTCTGAAATTTCCAGATGAAAGTTCCCAAGGGCTATAGGCACTGCTCGGTTGCTGTCATGGGAAAATTTTATTGAAAAAATTAACAGTTTTCATTACTGGATCAGCCCCGCAAAAATGAGATTAAAAACACAGTGTTATGACCCTATTATAACAACACCTCTAAGTCACATGGAGTAGTGACTTAGACTTCTCTAAGTATGCACAAACATGCTAATTAATGCTCAGGCCTACCTCCATAACTGTGGAGTTTGTCGTCTGCTGCTCTCTCACGACGACAAGCCCACATTTCTGGGGGTGGCTAACACTCACATTATCATCATCACTAAAATTGCATAAGGCCAAGCACGAGTAACTACATGTACGTATACATGTACATGTAGGGCCTACAGGAGAGGTAGGAATCTAACGTTACAAATCGCCTCTTAACCTTTGGACCAAGGCTTGATCCAGACCCTTATTTTTTGGGGGGGGCCCAAAAACAAGTAAGCTGCATCCCCTGTGCACTTTTGCATTAACTAATTAATTGTACCAGTCGCAGTTAAGCAGCTGCTCAGAAACATTTTCCTGAACAAATTGGCTCTGCCCATACAACCTCCATTTAAGACACTTAATATCTTCACTCTGATTGATTAAAAGACTCATATTGGGAGGGAGTGGCATGGCCCCCTTCTTCACCTGGATCCTCCCTTGATTCCGACATGCATTGGTCTACTATTGCTGACCATGTCCAACTGTTGAAAGTGTAGATTTGTAGGGCACTAGTTACTCAGACTACATCAGTTGTAATGTTAGTCTGTGAGTAATGCTTTCTCTTTATATCGGATGCAACTTTGCAACAACAAAAATCACCTCAGACAGCACAGGCACTTTATTGTGAAGTCAAGTAGTTGGAGTGTCGGATAGAATGATACATGCTAATGTTGGGTGCGATCAGTCAGTCAGCACAGTCGCATGACCGTGTTGCACTGTCCTCTGATCCTGCATGAAATCTCTGACTTACATGCAACTACCCCATCTTGTCCAATAGTCATGATTGTAACACTAACAGTTGAAAAAGGAAGGATAAATTTTACATTTTAGAGTGATTGGCTCATACCTGTGTTCCAAAGTGTATTAAGTTTGATGATGTTTTTGATGTCCCTTTCCGCTTGGCAAAGGATTTTGCTACAATGTTTTTGGCACTTTTGACTTCAAGAATCCTTGGCTTTACCAGAAAAAAGTGATAAAAAACTACATGTATGTTTGGGCATGCACATACATATACATGTACATGCATGTACATTCATGTACATGTATTTACCAGTTGGCTTATACCAGGACTTACATGTACCTGTACAACTAGTACTAGTATTAAAGTCTCTGAAGAATCCACCTTAGCAGAAGTGCTCCCTCGTCAGTTGAAAAGAGCCATGTAAGTGTAGATTGTTCATTTTGTTGGGAGCAACGCAACTGTAACACAGTATTTCATAGTCCTTTGTGAACAACTGAAGTGCAGTTCCTACCAAAGGAACCTCTGTTGCTAGGAGAATTGTCCTACTTGTACATATGTTGTTCTTAGAAGAACTGGGTGACATTGGTAGAAATCCCATTCCATTTAATGCATGAGTGATCTGATGTTAAATTTATCTTGCAACAGGATAACTCCTTGGTTGTCTGGAAAGAGATCAACTTGGCACAGGCAACAGAGAAGACGAAACGAGATGCTCAGAATGAGATTGATATTCTGTCTCTGCTGAATCATGCCAATATCATCACATACTATAATCACTTTGTGGATGAAAGCTCCTTGTTTATCGAGATGGAGTATGCAAATGGTTTGTATTAGTTATTCATTCTACAGTCAACCTGTGCTTATCCAGAAGTAGTATGTTTGGTCATACATGTACATATAGACCGAGCGCCAGCGAATTTTATTCAACCGGAAAGAGACAAAAGAGATTGTTGATTGTCAATCGTTCATTGAAGATTGGGATTGCTGCCGGCCCAGGGGCTATACGTTTGGCCACAGGAAGCATTTCCAGGCCACCCAAAAATGCATTTATTCAACCCAACAGCGACAAGAAAACTAACTGCACCTTGACATTTGGTAAATGTCACTAAAAGGACCATGACAGCAATTCTATGCTGTATGTTTACAAGAACAGCAGTTTTTGAAGAGGTCACATGACCACATAATCAACCGGAGAGGGACATGCGCCAAACTTGCTTTTTTATAATCTATGATCATTGCCAAATGAAATACCAAATGACAGCAATTTTCTCCTGTACTTTCATCTTGACAGCAACCCTTGATCTCCACACTTTGAATAATATCACCAATGATTATTCAGCCCAAATGCTAAGGATTTTTCAAGTAAGATTTAGAGATATTGTCAACCTTATACAAAAACGCCCTTGACAAAAGTGTCTTTAGTTGGACAAAGTTGGCCTTGAGAGCAGCCTTTGATTCGAGCCTAGTTCAGGGAAACTTCGTATTTTAGTCATTTATGTCTTATAATCCCTTTTACTGTTGTTTTCTTGGCTTTTAGTTTGTTATGCAGTCAGTTTCCGTGTTGATCACAGAATCGGGAAAAAGCTGTTTCTTTCAACAGTCCCTAACAGTATTGTCACACAAAACCGACACCATGAACTAATAGTGCAATCCAATAATATGAATATGGAAATAGAGCACAGACACAAATAATGATGTCGCCCATAAACCAATAAGATCAACACTTACTCTATACAATGTATGCAGCTTGTCCTAATATGGTATGGACAGAATTCCATACGCCAAGTTCCTTTACTGGATTGATCGCTGTAAACTGTCGGTCATTTGGATTTGCTCCCGCTATCCTCACTCCAGGGTTCACCATCACTATCAGGTAAGAGTGTATCCATGGTATCCATGTGTTCTCCTTGTCCCCCATGTCTGGATGGCATTCAAAGGAATCCTCTTTAAACTCCACAGTCTCCAGGGCAGTACATATAGGTCTTTTCAACTCGTCAGGTAGTACAGGTCCGAGAAACCTCTGAAATGTATCGTTTTCAGCTGCATCCACTTCCCAGCCATAGTTAGTGGGATCTATTCCGGCATTTGGGCTTGCTTTTGAAGCAGATTTCCACATCAAGGAGACGTAGTGAGCCCTACGAAGATGCTGCCGAAAGGTTCGCTTGCACGGTGGCAGCGAAGCGCAGTTTATCTTTCTAACTTGCTCAGAAAACTTTCCCGCACCCACCATCTTCTCACGCCTCATCAATACATTTGGCACTTTTATTGCCGTACACATGGCAAACAAATCTTTCCAAACCCACGGCGTCCATTTCGTCTTGACACAAAGACTGCAGAGCTTGAACATGACCCTTTTCCATGATTTCGAATGGTTTCTGTTTACCTTTTTGGTAGAAGGCCGAAGTGTAGTCGCATCCTGTTAGAGCGTGAAAACCAACAACAGCGTCTGTTGTTCCCACTTTATTGTCCTCTACATGTAATTCTTGAGTGATTTCAGACACGTTGATGAAGCGGTGATTGTTTCCACTTCCGTAGTCTTGTATTATGCCATAGGAATGCCTTGCAGCGATTGGAAGCAGTATCTCTAGAATGTCGGTGTCCGAAGAATGTATGGTTATTTCACCTGACATCCCCGTCGCAGCATGGTATGCAATGAGAGTGTCTGCTTCTTCATGTTGGCCTTGATACTTCTCAGGAACGGACACCTCCAGCAGCCCCATGTTGTTCACCTTTAGTTGTATTCAGCTACCTCCATGAGAGATGTACACTGTTTTGCACTCAATGATAGCAAGCATACTGTTCGTTCTGGACCTCTTCCATCATGAAGTTCAGGAAGGCATTCTTGAAGTGGTACAATGTAGTTTTTTAGGAGATCACTGACATTCTTTTTCTGCCTCTGTTCTGGCCCTGTTGTCACAGAATCACCATGTTTATAGATATACCGACGGCCTCACTGACAGGACAGAAGGTTCTTTCTGCTTTCCTTTCAGCACTTTTGTGAGCGCTGACTTGGTAGTCTTTGTCAGTGACCCATTACTGTGTGCGATTGACAAGGGAACCTGCATAATTGGATGGCTCATTAGATCTCGAAGGTTGATAGCTTCTCGTACCACATCTATCGCCAGTATGTGAGCAAAGGCGTCTCTCACACCTTTGGTACCAACTTTGTCACGTTTGGTCGCTTTTCTGGTGTTTTCTGATGCGATGTCCCCGTTGAAGAGTTGTGGTAAGGTAGTCTGCTGTCACCTCTCGGGCACTTTTCCTTGTGGTCAAATTGATGATGGTATGTGGAGTGGTGGCATCAAAAGGATTGCATATTTCAATGAACTTCTGCTTCAGCCGGTCAGTGCTTTCTTTGTCTTTCCGCTGACGTTGGTTTTGGCAGCTGATTTGGCGGTATTTGTCCTCCTTGGATTCCACACATCTCTTTCAACTCAGTTACAGCCATGCTGCGTTGAGTGAGGCTAACACACCACCGCTGGAAAGCCTTCTTAGGTCAATTGCACTGCGGAAGTACGACTTCTTTGTACGTTTTGTGCTGAAGGCACGGGCTCTTAGCATGCCCATCGCAGATGAACCTAGCTGCCGCAGCTAATCCAGATAGAGTGAACCCCACCGAGCATAATTTGATTTGTTCAGAGCGAAGAAAACGTCCACCAGATGAGGTAGGACGGTCACATACAGGTTGACATCGTTGGGTCGCACAGCCCTTTAAAGCTCTCGCTAAACGCAGTTGATGAGGTAGATGTACACAGCCCAAAATGCCGCTGTCTTGCCAAAGGAGCCATTCATGGTGTCCTGAAAATACTTCTCGTAGTCAGGGACAAGCCGCTTGAAACATTCCGTTGTCGACAGTTGAAGCAGGTTGTTTGTGTCACCAGAACCTGTCGACATTACCTCTGTGAGTACCTCTTCATAGTGATCACTTCTTTCTGACAGAAACTGTTCATATACATGTACATGTAGTAATTGCTCCAGGACTCCAGCTGTTATCTAGTGAATGCAGGTACATCGGTTATAAAATTTACCCTTAACAAAACCATTCAAAGAACCTTTGGCAAGAACCTTGCCCTCTGTCAGAATCCACTATGAAGGTTCCAACGGCACCAAAAAATGCTTGTTTGATGTGGAAGTTGCCCAATAAAATGATAAGCTTATCAAATGTGGGCGTGCGGAGAGCTTGAATGGTGAGTGCCTTCTTGGCAAAGTTCATATCGTATGTGACTGGGTGCCATGTTTGACTGGTTTCTTCAGCCACTTTCAGAGATCGTTCCATGGTAGCCTGGACAACTTTGCCGACTGTTGGAGACTCATTTATGAGATCCATATACACTATTGCTGTCATTGAAAGGCTGTCTTCCACGAAGGAGGAGTAAAAGCCATTGAACTGCGGTACTATTTCCTGCACGGACTTGATCACCCACAAAATATCCAATATGCGTGCTTCAATATAGTCATTGCTGGCACTTGAAGTGCTGGCTATCGAAAGTATGAACTTGGCTGCTCGTAAGTTCAAGCGGAAAGCAGGGCACTCTTTCACAACACCTTCAAAGGTTCTCCTTGCTCTCCCAGTGATAGTTGACGTCTCATTTGCCGTTTCTCTTGATGGTCCAGTGAAGCCTTCAGTCAGTTGTCCATTTGGTATGTGTTGATTCTGGTAAGCTATACCTACGGTCTTATGTAGACTGTTCTTACCATCTAGTGTTTCAACGTTCAAGCCAAAGTTGTCCCCGCTGTTCCTGAAACAAAAATAGAAAAATTATTTTCTAATAGTGCGTTAATAGAATGTGGGCTTTATGTAGACTTGCATGTACGTGTAGGAACAATTTACCGAAAATAAATTTTAGTTCCTTTTTTTTATACTTCAAATCAAAATTTATTGCTATTATAATAACAATATTTGGCTATAGCTTACCAGGTGCAAGTTTGGAATCGGTGAGCAGTCCCTCTGGTGTTTCCTTCTCTCCAGAAACACAGGTGTAGGCAATTTCAGAAACGAGCCTTTTGCACTCATCATCGATCACAGAATGTCCAAGTCTCTTGAGTACTGTTAGAGCACTCTTGCTTCCTAACATCAAAGAAAACCCAATGCCAAGTGCTGTGGTCTTCCAGGGTTTTACATTTTCTGTGATGCAGTGTATACTGCATCTGACGATAGCGCTTCACACTTTTCTTTTCTTGGTGGCCGATGGTGAATCGATGATGCCACAAAGCAGTGTTTTGTAGAAGTGTTTCGTCAATGGAGGTACTTCTGAGGCAGTTTTCTTCAAAGAATCTGGGAATTTTGTTCTTCTCCATCTGGGGGATCTCCGCTCTGAGAGGCATGGCAGTGGATCGTACTTCCTGTTCACCTCTACTGGTATTCTTCAAAGCCGTGACAGCATCATCAAATTTGAGAGATGACAGGTAAATGAAATTTCCCACTTTCTTTGACTCCTTCCCTTGATATATCTTGTCCTTATACATGTAGGTGTTTTTTATTTTATCAAGTAACTTCTGTGTGGTGTACCCTTCCATATCTCCGGAAAGCCCGCTGTTGGCTTGGAATTCTGATCTGTATAAATCCATTACAGATGCAACACTGACGGGATTGCCCTTTTCGACAACATGGGACTCTATGAATCCTTTTATTGCGTTGAATGTGACCTTATGAATAGCTGAGGGTATAGTGAAATCATAGCCGCTACCTTTTTCAGCACCGTTATCCTGAGTGAATTTCAAGCGACATGTATTGTGGTACATGCCCTCGGGAGCCACCAAGTCGTCTGTACCTCTTACAAGTGCCAGAACTTTTCGACTTGAAGATGCACTTGGGTTTGCTCAAGCGGAAGCCTCAACTGTTTTGCTGCCAGTCATAGATAACATCAGACTCAAAGGTTCAAATGATTGCCCACCTTTGAACCGTTTCTTTTCTTGTGTACAGAAAATGCAGCGTTTTTCGACCATGACACCTCTGGAATTTGATTTTAACAAGCCAGAAACAGACCTTGTCTTTTTAGCAGGGCTTGACAATTTACTACTTTCTTCCTCAGCTTTCCTTTTTTTTTACAGCACTGAATTTGCTAAGACAGACCGAGTGATATCGCAACTTAGAACTGTCTTAGCAATTCTGAACTTGTTCTGTTTCTTCTTGAAAAATGTCGGTTTGTAGGCAAGTTCGTCGCTCCGCAGCATTTTTCACTCTTACCCACTGTTAATCGCCCTTGAATTGTTTCAGCCCCCCACCATCTTTCTTCCAACACACAAAACAAATCTAAAGCAGAAAAATGAAATAAAAATAATTGGGCGTGCAGCTACTTTTGGGGATTGCAAGGATTCTGGTCTTTTGAATGCAAACCCACACATTGACTAAGTGCCCTGATGCTTAGAAAACAGACAGTTAGGCCTTTACGGTATGGAAGCAGAGGTGTTGGAAAAAAGGGGATCAGAAAAGGTTCCATATTATGTTATTTGAGAAACTGTCTTATATTTACTCTTTTTCAAATTCGGCTAATCCTATCGCAAATGGAGTCAATTGTTATGATTCAATAAACGAGCCGCAAAAGGTTGGGTCTTTTTCATTCCAGCTTAAAAGAAAGAAATGTTTTAAAATGTATTAAGTTGCTATTTTTGACTGACAGATTAGGGTGGAGTTTTGGGAAAGGTTGTTTGAATGTCTTGTTTGGAGGCTGAATGGCAATACGGTTGGGTCCCATTTCAAACTTCAATGCTGTATTCCATTTATATAATGATTCACCAAAACATGACAGATTTCACCTGCAAAATTGCCTAACATTACCCGATTTGCCACCTACATGTACGTCCCGCGTTGAGGTTCAGAGGTTTGTACAACCTTGCTTAATGCTTTGAGGCAGTTTTCCAGGTGAAATGTTAAGTTTTTGTGGAGTGATTAATTAAGTGGAATATCAAAGTCTTACTTAGACCCTGCTGTATGTATCGCCAGACATGCGACTGTGCTCTCCATTTTTTAAAGGTGAGATAAGGATCCAAGTTACTGGGATTAGACTTAACTCTTCGGAATAATGAAAAATTAATAATACACGTCCACTTACCTCACTATCCGTGTTTGTCAACCTGGCAACCCGGCAACCTTTTCTTTGCTATTTCTTCAACTTGCAAGATTAGCAACAAACACCTGTTCAATTTTCAGCCCGAAGTCGACACGAAGACTTAGGGTGGGTTTACAAACCTCGAGAAATGACAACTGCTTGTAGAAAAAAACTAACCATGTGTAGCATGTCTGGAATCTTCACTCTCTGGGATGTATATAGTTATTCATGAAAAAACAATATTACGCCGCACTACTGATAAGAGGTCTCTCCATTATTAAAAAACCCCGCCTGATTATTGATTGATCATTATTAATACACAGTGAGTATGTATTTGGATTGTAAATCAAATACCCCCTGGTTTCAACCCAATAGATGGATTTGTCTCCTATCAAGATTTCTCGTCATTTATCTTTCAAGTAACAACACGGGCGCACTACTGACCAAGCAGTTTGAAGGGCATCTGACGTTTGGTAAAACTGCATGCATTCGGCCAATTTTGGAAATTGGTGAGAGTGAAAAAGTGCAGGTCTTAAACTTCATTAAAATGTAGACCAAGAGAAACAGTTGTTATCACGAGTACAATATTCAACACGTGCATCCCAATAACAAATTAGAAAAATTGTAAGTTGAATTTGCAAGGTCATAGGTGTTAGTCAAAGTAACAAAGTTGCTGTCAAGGGGAAAGTACAGGAGAAAATTGCTGTTATTGGTATGTATGTCCGTGTTTGGCAATGATCATAAATTGTAAAAAGCCAAGTTTGGTGCTTTTCGCTCTCGGGTTGAATAACTGTAGTCACGCGACCTCTTTAAAAACTGCTGTTCTTGTAAACGTACAGCATAGAATTGCTGTCATGGTCCTTTTAGTGAACTGCAGCCTCTACCAAATGTCAAGCTTCAGTTAGTTTTCTTGTCGCTGTTGGGTTGAATAGATGCATTTTTGGGTGACCCGGAAATGCTTCCTGTGGCCAAACGTACTGGCCCTGGGCCGGCAGCAATCCCAATCTTCAATGAGCGATGGACGATCAACAATCTCATGGGATGGAACCTTTTGTCGCTTTCCGGTTGAATAAAATTTGCTGGCGCCCGTTCTAAGAGAAGAAGAGAAACATGTTTCTTTTCATTGAGGAAAATGTTTTTTATTTTATTGGCCAGATTTTGATGGCATATGTGGTCTCGTCATTAGATATGAAACCCGCTTATTCATATACATGAAAATCAGCAAGAAGAACTTGCTGACCGACCAACCTTATTTGAAGATACCGTATGTAATGAGATTGGCCCTACTAACCCAACATGCACAATGTAAACCAGTATAAATTTATGTAAAAGGAAGCTCCAGATGGAAAGAATTTATTGCATTCAGAAGGGTTGATGAAAAATACAAAATGTGAGGAACTTTTTATCACTCAAGAGTTTAAAGAGGTTTCATTTTCTGACAAGTCAACAGTGGCCAGATAAGCGTGATTGCTGCCGATATGGATTGTATTACCATTACATTGTAATTAGGGAGTAAAACATTACGACAATAATTTTTATCAAATAGTTGTCAAATCTAACTTTAAATTGGCACTATTGATATTTTGAATGCAGGTGGAACTCTCTATGAGAAGATCGTTCACCAAGGTGAACAGCTGTTTAGTGAAGAGGTTTGCTTATTTTCCTTTTTGTAACTGAACCACTTGCCAACCTACATATTTACATGTACATGTACATGTACACTGTATGGAATATATATGCACAATAAAAAACATGTAAATGTACACGTACATGGTCTGAAACAGATAATTTTCAGTTCAGGCTTTTTTCAAAATACATACAATCACAGTGTAATAAGGCTAAAACAGTGGATATTTTTTAATCACAGTGTAATAAGGCTAAAACAGTGGATATTTTAATATCCACTGTTTTAGCCTTATTACACTGTGATTGTATGTGATTGTATGGCTACTGCTACATGTAATACATGTAGCAGTAGCCGGCAAATTTTTAAAAATGGTGTTTAGTTGGATACAAGTAGACAGCCCCCTCTTTGATACATATACATGAGTGTAGCCTTTTCTTAAGTAAGCCTGTTGCAAGTTCAATTTGAATGAAATGTGCATTGAACTCTTGAATTCTTTGAACATACAGTATTCTCCATACTGAAGGTACTGTTGCTATACCACGTAATTTGGGCAAGCTTTGCTTAGTTACATAAGAGACGGCTTGCACCAATACACTGTTTTAATGGATAAGAAGTGCACAAAGAAACCAGTCCATTCCAGAGATGGTAGTTGCTGTGCAAAAGCTTGCCTGAGGGAACTCAGATTGTTATGTTTAGGTGCGATCAGGTAATAGGCCGTGGGGCAACCCTTCATATCGTTCCGTTTCATCTGACAAATTAGGGGCAACCTACAAATTGTGTAAAGTTAGTTATAGTTTAAAATATACTTTTCAAGATTTTTGCTGGTCCCACTTCCAGTTTTTGCACGTTAACTTGCAGAACTTCCCAAAAGAAACAAAAATTTTAGGTGAAATCTCGGACAAGCCAGCAGTGTTTGTTTAGTCTTGGCTAATGATAAAAATGCATCCTCACTTGACGCAGTTGCTGGCTGCGTGCTATAACGTACATCTTCTGTGCGGTGGCATAGTGTATCAATGAGTCCTGCATCTTGAATCAAAGCTATAAGGCTTGCACATTGTGATCAATGTCTCGGTGCCCGTCAGTTGTTTTTACATGTAGTGCCTCCTCAAATATAGACAAAATTGGCCCGTTCAGCACAGTCAGCTGGGAAAAATTTGGAACAACCTTAACAAATGGTTGCTGCTCGATGGAAAAGAAAAGGAAGTGGCACAGAATACAGTAGTATTTGCTGCAGAAGTGACTCCAAAGTCGTTGTGGGGCTACCATCGCACTTGCTCAATGGTACAAGGCCTACAAGTAAGTCGCATGCTTTTTTCCATTTTCTGTTGTATAAACCCTCATCTGTTTCTATTTGAAACTCATCCAGGTCAATTTGCATACTGTGCAGTGCATGTTACTTGATTTAATTAATTTAAAAGTAATTTCTTCTCTCGAAATATGGGCTGAAAGTCCAAAAAACGAGTGTTCAGAAACAGATAAAAAATTGAGTGTTTTCAAACATGGCACACTCAAAATGTTCATTAAAACAAAACTGAGAACAACTTGCAGGTAAACGTGCATCTTATAGCAAAGTATGGTTCTTTTGTACCGGTAGCACTTGAATCTTAGGGATTGTAAATTTGGAAACCCTGTAGGGGAGCTACATTTTAACTTGTGAATTCACCTTGGTAGATGACTGTGACAACATGCTCGATAACTGTAGGGTTAAAGTAAAAAAAGGGCAGGGTTTTGACTTTTTATGGAAATTATGAGGGGAACTGTGAGTGTTTAACACATGGTAGATTAAAATTTGCATGACTAGTTTATCAGGGAGAAAGTCAGATTTTCTCACAGTTTACAATTTGAACTTCCAAAAAATAGGGTCAGCAAAATAAAGAGTGTTGCCTTTGTGTTTTTTTTTGGGGGGGGGGCTTACCAGTTTTGCAAGATTAAAATACCATTATAATTAAAACAGGGGGTCCCCAAGTATACAATCCCCTGGCTCTTATTTGAGAATGGTTTCATTTCATGTTTGATTGATGTCTGACCATGCTGACCAAACTTTAAAGCAAAAGTTGCAAATCCACTTAGTGTGGGGAAACACCATGGAATGCAACTCAATATTTATTGTATATAAAATATATTTTTTTATATTAACTGTTAAATGATAGCAACTAAATACAAACAGTATTGCTTTTCTGAAAGTGCAGGTCAAAAATATTGTTCATCCAGACCACTGAAGGGAAAATATAACACATCAGCTGACATTAATAAATTAGTTTATGTGCCATGAACACATGTCGTGTCTCAGTTGATAATCAGAAAGAACAATACAGAATTAAAGATGGTCAGCAATTGCTACATGTATACAGTGTTAAATGTTGTTGAGCATTAAGCCAACTGTGCATGCCTACTGGAGGTAACACCGCAATAGTCATGAAATGTTGAAGCCGGTTCACGGCACAGAAAATTTGAAAATAGGGCAATTGTCTTTGAGCATAAATGTGACAATTAGGCCTACTTTTTAGTAGATACTTTTGTATTAAGTGCTGTTTTAACTTAACCCCTTCGCACCGGGAGGTGGCTATAGCCGCCGTAAAAATTGAGATCCTCAGCCTGCTTTTCAGCTATTATTCTCGGCCCACACTCGAGTGAACACGGTGAAAGAAGGCAGACCCTGGCTCTTGTATATATGGTAATTGGTCTTTGTGCGTAGCCCTGAAATGAAAAGACAGATTTTGCATCATAATCACGAGCTTCACAATAGTCCCCACTTTGAAAAGAGGCAACGGGAATGTGGAAGGGTGAGTAGAGCCACATGCCACTGAACTGTCGGCCTTTTCACCGTGTAATTCAAAGCGTGCATAGCACGCAGGGCCACAAACCTAGAATTTGCGGTTTGGTAGGTGGCCTTCGTGGCCAAGCGAGGCTGGAATTCTAGGAGTCTGCTTTTGGGAAGAAATTCCCGTTGTCAAGGGGTTAAGATGAGCCTTCTTTGGAAAACGTTGGGCCTTTAACAATATTTTCATATTCTTTTCTTCAGATTTTATGAAAAGTCCAAAATTGCTCAGGCTGAAAGATGTCTACAGGGCACAGCTGAGGTTGAAAGACCACCATCAGAGCCACCACGCAAATCACAAAGATTGCTCACTCACCAGGGCATACGGAAACTGCAAATTGAACATGTTCTTCCTGCAAGATGCTTCTTCTTCTGCATACATATGCTTCATATGTAAAAGGGAGAAATGGATCAAGGATGCAGCAACTTGCAAATTGGTCAAGGAACGTTTAATGTGGTAAGTAGTACCACATGCAGCAGCAGAACTTTCCCTGTTTTCCTCATTGCTGGATTCTTACTCTTGGCAATGCAACGCAAAGGGTCTCAGCATTGCGTTTGTTTCACATTGTTCTCATTATTTTGTGTAAGTTTCATTTGCCAACCAAAAGGTAGTTTACTGAGCTACTTTTACTTATTTCATAAAAATCAAATAACAAAGTAGTGAAATCAACATTACTCTGACGCTTTGTCCCCTCTTGTGTGGAATTTCCCCTGCATTTTTTTACTCTGTTCCTCTGTAGATGGGCTGCTTCTGAAGACAGTGAAAAGAAAACATAGTGAAGGCATCTTGGTTTATATTTAAGGAAAAAGACCTTGAAGTGAAATTAATGAACCATGGTTCCTGCTACAAAGCATACACCCGTGTAAGTATATGTTTGCACTTACTGTTTTTTTTAATGCAAATTCGAATCCTATATCTTGATTGATCTATCCATATCAAGTGATAGTGTGGCATTTATTCTGTATAGTACAGCAATTTTCATATTACACATGCTTGTGAGCAGACAACATATAAGTTGGTCTAGTATCCCAACACAAATGTACATGTATAACTGCATACATGTATATCTCGGTTGTCAGCCTACTAATTAAAATATCCATTTGTTTTGAAAATTGTAGTTACGCCAATACCAAGGTAAGCAATGAGGGGTTGTTAGTGACCTCTTACCCTTCAATCACCATGGGATGAGGTAAATTTGTCGTTCGGCTTGTGCTTGTGGAAAAACTGCTATTATTTATTGAATGTGAAATGTTTTACTCAGAATCACTCATTCATCACTGTCTTTCAGGAAGAACCTCAACATGAACCTTCGTGTCAAGATGCAAACAAGATGCAAACAAACATCAAACAAGACGACATGTACCGTGTTTCATTGAGATGCCTTTGCAAGAAGGCTGACTTGTCATGCACTGAACTTTGCAAATGACCGTTGACTTTCGTAATGTTGTAATTGTAATTGTTGGTATCCAACCAATAGCAGAGATTCGACATGTTAAATCCTTAAAATGAAGTCGTTGATCAGTTGAAACATGACTGGATTGTACAGTGTGCGGTAGGGCTTAACCCCTTGATGACGGGAATTTCTTCCGGAAAGCCGACTCCAAGAATTTCAGCCTCACTTGGCCACGAAGGCTGCCTGCCAAACCGCAAATTCTGGTTTGTGGCCCTGCGTGTTCTGCACGCTTTGAATTACACAGTGAAAAGGCTGATTGTTTGGTTGCATGCGGCTCTACTCACCTTTCCACATTCCCGTTGCCTCTTTTCAAAGTGGTGACTGTTGTGAAGCTGGTGATTATGATGCAAATTCGGTCGTTTTATTTCTGGGCTACGCACAAAGACCAATTACCATATATACAGGAGCCAGGGTCTGCCTTCTTTCACCGTGTTCGCTCGTGTGTGGGCCGAGAATAATAGCTGAAAAGCGGGCTGAGGATCTCAATTTTTACGGCGTGTCTAGCCGCCTCCCGGTGCGAAGGGGTTGATAGAAACGAAACCAAGTCTTTCTTATTTGATCACTTTAATACCTGGTTCGAATTGGCAGTTACAAACACAGAAAAGCTGTTTTAAATTCAGCCTAATGGCTGCTGTAAACAAGATAGTAAAATTGAAATGAATATGTGCATGCACGTGTTTGTACAAGGCATAAGCTTTTCCACACTTTTCTTTAAATTCAGACTTTTGATTCTTAGAGAAAGGCATAATACAGAGATTACTGGAAATGATTTTGAGACAAATTCCAATGTAACTAGTAGGTCGCTGCATGTGCTGTGCTCATTTTATGAGCTTTATCCCAGAAATCTTTTCTACTCAATTAAGGTGCACCTGTTTCATGTTGAAACAAGCACAGTCATATTCAGCACTCCTGAATATGGTCAGAGAACCTATTAAAAGTTAGTGTGTGCAGGTTTCTTCTTATGGTGTTTTTAAATACCAAGAACATGATTTTTACCCCAAAAATTATCTTTGTGAAAATAATGCAAAATCTTTGCATTGGAAACAATCATATTAGGAATCGGCACTCCTGAAAAGAGTTACAAAACCTGTACTTAAGATGGATTATGCATTGTTTTTTGTGGTGTTTATTTTTTAAAAATTGGCTATTTTTTACTCCAAATATGACCTCTTGTAAAAGAAAGGGCAGGTTTTGCACATGGAAACAAGCATATTCAGAATCAGCATCTCTAAATTAGTTTAGAGAACCTATTCTAAAGTCAGTGTGTTTTCAAATAAATTGACAAAAAATGTGTTTTTTTCCCCCCAAAAAACTACCTTTACAATATTAAGGTGCAATTTTCAAGACTGGAAACAAGTATATTCAGAATGAGCACCCCTGAGATGTGTTAGAAAACCTATTCTAGAGATCAAATGTGCAATTATCTTCTCAGGGCTTTCATTTTTTCCCAAAATTGCCCCCCCAAAAACCCATATTTTTTATTCTTTTTCATTACCCCCAAATGATCTTAACTGAAACAACATGCAAGTTTTGTGCTCTGGAGCAAGCATATTTAGAATCAGCAGCCTTGAATTGGGCTAGAAAACCTATTTTCAAGTTGCCCCCAGAAGTGACAGACGGACCTCAATTTCTGACACCCTTTTGACGGCTTGCCCCACGGCCTAAAACTCAGTGTGCCAGATTTTCATTCGATTTTAATTTGCAAAAGGCATGTTCCTCTTTCAGTTCCTGGTAGGTTTGGTGGTCTAGTGGATACAGTGAGCATCTTGAGATCCATGATATACTTCCAGCAGAAATTTTCTTCTTTTTTGTTTTGAATTGAATCCAACATGTAATGACAGAGTATACTACTTTTTTCTGATTTGTGGCTCTGGAGGATTTGTGTAAAGGGAAAAATGTCTGAAATTGTAATATCGTCTGATTCCAAGTCGCAATGACTATGTTGGCACAAAACCAAACTAAGATTTGTCGCAGTAAGAATTTGGAAGTTAAAAAAAAACGGTTACTGGACATGTGCCCAGCAAAAATATTTGGTTGAATTTGCCGGCAATGACTCAATAGCTGCCTATGACCAAATATTCCTTTTAAGGACTTCATCTACTCCAAGCTCAAGATTGTTTACTAAAATTTGAAAGCTTAACTTAGTCATAAAACGTGGTTATATTGTATGACATGTATGAGACAGCGTAAGTTTCAGAACTTAAAATTGTTCTTACTGTAAGATCAAAGTATTTTGATCTTCCAGATACATCATGTTCCAGTACTGTGTTGTAGTCTTTGATGCCCCAAACATGGATGCCTTGAGCTTGCATATTCAGAGGGTTAATTATCAAGCAGCCATTTACAAGTGGGCTCTGGATCCATGTGTTGAGATGCTGACCCCACATGGATGAGGATGGAAGATCATTGGCAGTAATGTAACAATCCGCCGAATGGATCTTCCCCCTGCTCCTAACAGTGTTTTTGAATTTGCATGTCATTGGTTTGTGAAGAACATCTCATTTCACCAGCACATAATGACTGAGATGTTGAAGACTATTAAAAAGCCAGCTGTCACCACAAAACGAGCATTTATAAATTGATTTTCTGCAAATCTGCAGCTTGGATTTTGGTATGTCTAAAATCCTCAGGAAAAAGCTTATCAATGAGGTATGACAACTGAATCTTTAATTTGTGAAATTTCCTAAGTTTGCAGTTTGCAATATCTCTAGAAATAGTGAAAAAGGTCACAATAACAATGGCTTAAAAATGACTTGCTTTCGTATCTGTCTAAAATTACTAAATGGTTAGAAAGTTTAAGCACATTTTTTAAATAACACCAAAAAAGAAATTTGACTTTTGCCCCCTGTACAGCAAACTGTATTGTGCTACTTCACTGTCATTGTAACAGTAGCATTTCAGAGGAATGAATTTTAAAATTATTGGTGCCTGCTTTGATTTGTTTGAGGGAGATCGTAAACCATCATTCAATTTAGTCGCTGAATCATTTCCACCAATTGCAAACCTACAGACAGTTTGTATATTTTTCAAGCAAATTGTTCACTTTGCAACTCAGACCCATGATGTCAGAATGTATTCAAAAAGGTGCGCTAACCTTACATACCTTGTGTGGACTTGTGAACAAAAGATGTCCACAACATGCCGAAAAGGAATACGTTCTGTGGACTTGCACATGCCCACAGGACGTTTCCTCTTCTCTGAAAAAAACGTTTAGAGGCATTTGGAGTAGGGGTCATCGGTTGTAAAAGGAAGAGGAATAGTCAAGGAAACCTTGTAGAAAAAGCCAGCTGA